GAAGGCTATATGAGTATTCCTTAGGGAGGCGGAACCTCTGTATGAGGTCCTGAAGCCTCTCCGAAGTCATTATAGAAGGGCCGAACTGATCTGGCTCCCGACCTCGGTGGGAGGTGGATGCCAGATGACCCGAAGCCACCCGTACTTCGGATGGCTGAGCAGTAGAGGAGCCACCCCGAGCCGAGGTACCCACCTCGGGCTCATCAATAAGGCTGTCTACACTAGACGACATAGAAAACTAAAGCGAAGAAACAAATTGAAAAGGGGAAGGAAGCTCAGGAGGACTCACCAAAAGAAACGCAACCGGACTAGGAGAACAGGACGAACTGAAAGACCCGAGCTAAGAGACCTCCGACGCGAGCTCAAACACTATCGACGAGAGCTTTGTGGCAAAGAAAATGGCCAAGGGTCCCCCTATTTATAGCCACAGTTGCGGGTTCCTCGAGGCGAAAACGGTTGAGCGCGTTTTTGATGTCCGTGAAGACCGAATCGCGTGAGATCCGCGCGTAATCCAGACGTGACTCGAGTCTTTTTTTTGGTCAAACCGGGTGCTAAACCGGTCCAGCTGGACAAAGCGCGCGACAAAGCGGCATGAAGACCAACGCCATATCCACCCGGCGTGTCATGACCTCCCCGCGCTGGGTCATTGCCGCCAGCGCAGGGAGTGGGGGGAAATTGATGGAGGGTGATTTGGCCCGACCTCGCAGTACGAGTACACATGGGCGTGACCTTGCTCAAACAGTGACTCAGCATGATAGCGCAACGGACGTGACTACAACTCGGAGGGAAGGTCCCACTGAGTTCAGCTCGGCAACTGGGCGGATGAACCACTCGCCGGAAGCCGTCTCACTCGCACCTCCTCTCCGGGGTTAAGGCACTTCGGGGTTCCCAGAGTTCGGGGCACCCTGACCTCTCTTGAGGTCCGAGCTCCTCCCAATGGACCTCGGGCCACGCCGATCCATCTCTAGACACCCCGAGGCATGGACACCTCGGGTCAGCCAGCTCGGCATAACTTGCTACAGGCAGCTTGTCACTCAAGAGATAGCCCGACTCAGGGTAATTCACAGAAGGGTAGCTCGGCATACCGCAGGAAGGCTTCCTGCTCGACCATCGTGCCCGACAAATCTGTGGACAGCAGACATATCCCTCGTTAGAAAGCGCCGCGCCTGTCACCTTCAGAAATGTGTCTCGCACCTGACAGGCACGTACCCTGCAACGACGGCCCCGCGTGTGCCACCTCAGCCTTGCTAGTAACGGTTGTGGCAGACTGACGACAGTGGCAGTTATACCTATCTTGTCAGAAGCAGAGGGCGTGAAGCAACGAAATTCATTTATAAGGGGCTTATTCTCAAGGAACAAGGTATCTTCAAATTACTTGCGCAATCTTCACTCTTAGCCTTCGTTTTCCCTTCGCTTCTTGCACAAAGTACTGACTTAATCATCAGAGTGTTCCCACCGGGCAAACCCCCGGGAGAACTTCTTCTTTCCTCTCGTCCCAGGTACCTCTCTGGAGCCACGCGAGTGCCAGTTAGGAGTGACCGGATCGCGCTACATCAGATTGGAAGCAAAGAGAGTTCCTCTGGAAAAATAACAATGGTAGGAAACCCATACATCTGGTTAATTGGAACAGAATTTGCACCTCAAAACATTGGGGAGGTATGGGCCTAAGGAATCTTTGGTGGGCTAACCAAGCCAACTTGGCCAAACTTGACTAGAGAATTTTGAATGAAGAGGATAATCTATGGGTCCAAGTTGTAAGACAAAAATATCTAATGAAGAAGGAATTTTGGAACCTAGACAACAACAAAGGTTATTCTTGGGCTTGGAAAATGTATTCTTTTAGCCAAAGACCTTATTAAACGTGGTATTAGTGTTACCATTGGTGATGGTAATAATACCAAATTCTGGTTGAATAATTGGGTTGAGGGGGTCCCCTTGTTAATGAGGTTAATAGAGACACTATTGTTGATATTAACATCAAAGTTAGCGAGGTGATTGATAAGGAGAGACTCATATGGGATAAAGCAAAAATTTGCAGTTTGGTCCCTGTTTCATCTTGGAATAAAAGTAAGGCTATTTTTATCCCGACTAGGGATGAGAGGGACAAACTTATTTGGAGACCCAACGCAAAGGGTAGATTTTCCATTAAATCAGCCTATAATGAAGCTTGTATTATGAACGGAAATATCCCCGGGCGTTGGTTCGAGTCAAAGAAAGTGTGGGGTTTGAATACCCCTCCCAAGTTCAAAATTTTCTTGTTTTTACTCCTCAACCTAAATCTGCCTACAAAGAAAATGCTAATTATGAGAGGGATGGATATAGATGGCTCCTGTGTAATGTGTGGAGAGGAAGAAGACAGGAACCACATTTTTATAAGCTGCCCTATTGCTAAGCAAGTATGGAATATTGCTAAAGACTGCTTTTCGGATTCGCAACGACTTAGGCAAAAATATTTGCGAATGGTGGAACTTCATCTCGAGTAATAACGGTATGAATTTGGGTGACGCCTATAACAAGGATAAATTTGTTCTCCTCTGACAAATTTGGAAGAATTGCTCAGTTGCTTGTATTGCCAGGGACCACCTAAGTCATATTTTGGATCTCAAAGCCTACAAGTTAGGTAAAACTACAACTAATGTTATTGAAGCGTGGGCGGCATGGGAGGCCGACAATCTTAGTCTCAACTTCTCAAACAAATACATCATCATCGAAGGAGATTCAAAGCTTGTTATCGAGTGTCTAAAGAAGAGCTACAGTCCCCCATGGAGAGTTCGCCCAATTATTGAAGATTGCTATACCTTAAGAGAAAGATTAGAGGAAACGATTGAGTATCATCACATCTACAGAGAAGGAAACATGGCTGCAAAGCGAGCGCTCTACCATGAAAATAAAAAAAGTTTTTATTTTCATGTCATTCTGGATTTATCAAAAAAAGTTTTTCGGATTAGATTAATAAAAACATGAAAATAAAAAAAGTGATGGAGATGCAGGGGATTGAACCCTGTACCTCTCGCATGCAAAGCGAGCGCTCTACCATTTGAGCTACATCCCCTTTTTATTATTTTGTCCCTTAATTAATTACAAATCAACATATCCGATAATCTCCATTCCCCCCTAAGACTCTGCATAAACCTCCGCGGCCGGCCTTGGTTATTCCTCAGTCCTCACAGCCCTCCAGTTCTTTGCTGGTTCATTTCCTATTACCATATTAGTCATCTTTTCTTGTATTGTTTTCCATTTGGGTGTTTACTCTTCTCTGGCTTCCGTCTGCAATGGACTTCCAAGTGGTCGTCCTCGCCGGCGGCACTTCGAAGGAGCTCGTCCCTCTCGTTTCCAAGGTGTTCATCAACTCCTTCCTTAACAGCCCAGGAGAAGAAGGAACAGATTCTGTTTAATATTTGCTTTCCCACAGTTTTATTCACGTTTTGCTCTCTCAAATGCAGGAAGTTCCAAAGGCGCTGCTTCCCATCGCGAACCGGCCGGTTCTATCTTACATTCTGGAACTCTTGGAAGCTAGTAATCTCAAAGATCTCATTGTTGTACGCTCCTTTCATCCCAATTATGCCCTGATTGCGCCCCCTGTTTATTTGGCTTTCTTTGCTTGATTTCTCTCTCAAATTTGATTTTTTTCCCTTAAATATAAGTACATGTTTTGTTTCAATAACAGTTACGATCTTTGGGTCTTTATTTTTTATCCCTTTTAATTGCTGGGTAGGTCGTTGAAGGAGAAGAAGCAGCTGTTCGGGTTGGCGGTTGGATTACTGGCGCTTATGTAGATCGTCTCCATGTCGAGGTTCTGATTGACCTAGTTTTGTTTGATCAAAAGTGCAAATATGTTCTTTATAGTTTCTTATTGCTTTCTTGTTCAAATTTAATTTGAAGTTATTTCTACATTATACAACACCATGAAAATAAGGAGGATAAATATAATGTTATTTGCGAGTGTTTGATACCGCCTTGTTAGTTTTCGTGATAGAAGTTCATAGCTTGGAGATGCAACCAACAATGGCAATGCATTATCAGCTTCATCTGCTTAGCTGGAGCGTGGTCATTAGTCATGCTGATTGGATTGAAATGGGATAGATTCAATCAAGAAGACCTGATGTAACATACTGCTCTATTAATTTATTAATTAATAAAGTTCAAAAGAATCTGTTAATGATAAAAACAAAACTGATTGTAATGTTATTTTGTTTCTGAATAATCTCTTTGTGGAGTAACTATTAATTTTGGTCACCTTCCTTGCATGATTATACTGTTATTCTTCAGCCACCTAGTCACCAATTTTGAATCACCTTCAATCTCCACATTTATCAAGCCCAGTTCACTTGCAATCTGTATCACATTTATCAGCCTGGTTCTCTATCCTTATTATTGTCTCCTTCCATGGTTACTTAAAAGCCTCTAGGGTCCTTTGGCAAGGTTGCTCCTCTTCCACTTATCATTTACGATGACTGCATAATATTTTGGATGCCCTTTTGAGCAGTGCAGTCAATGTCAACCTCCAAGGTTTTAACGTGGGGAGAGAGAATTCATATTTCTCATTTACAGTATGCCAACAACACTATCATCTTCCTTGAAGAAGTGTATAACTTAAGACTTTAAGAAGAATTTCGAAATGTTTTGAGGCTATCGCAGGACTTAAGTGTAATCTAGCTAAGAGTAGCATCATAGGGGTGAACCTCTCTTAGGTGAACTTGGAAGAGTTTAGAAATATTTTAAATTGTAAAGTGGATAGTTGGCCTGTAAAATACTTGGGGTTGCCTTTGGGAGGAAGACTTGATGCTTGGAAGACAAATTATCTTTCCAAAGGAGGCAGACTTACAGTTATACTTATTAAGGAAACTCTGTCTAACTCGCCTTCATACTTTCTATCTATATTTAAGATTCCAATTAGAGTAAGGAAACTCTATCGAACCCAGAAACTGTTGTTTGGGGATATAGGGACATCATCAAATAAGTCAAATGGCTTACAAGAACCATGTCAGTTAGCTTTCAGTGGGTTAGTAGATCAGCAAATGCTTTGGCAAATTCTTTAGCTAAACAAGGGGCTTCAAGGGATTCTCTGTTTTTGGCTAATTTGTAACTGCAATCTGAAAAGAGTTGGGTTTGGAACCACCTTTAAGAGGAGGTAACACCTCGTGCCTCCTCTTAGGGTGCTTCATGCTTGTACTATTTCTATCTCTATTTAATAAAATACCATTCGCTCATCAAAAAAAAAAAATGGGATTGAAAAATTACAAAGAGATTTCCTTTGGGATGGTGGGGGTGACAGGAGGGATCATTTAATTAATTGGAAAATGGTCTGCAAATATAAGTCGGAGGGTGGACTAGGATCGGCACATATTCTGGATTGTGTTTTTGGACAAGTGGCTGTGAGATAGTCTCTGGGCTTCTGTCATTAGAGTAATTACAAAAAGAATAGGAATGGATGGAATAGCAACCTGTCTCTGTATAGAGCCTTCTCCAGCAGCCATTGGAAACACATTATTTCTTACTTTGACCTTTTTGTTCCTTTCTTGAACTCAATTTAGGCAATGGTAATCATATCATATTCTGGGCTGACCATTGTATAGGACAACCCCTTTGTTCCTCCTACCCCAACCTTTTTAGTCTCTCCTTGGATTAGCAGGCCTTAATCTCCTCGGTAATTACTAGAGGGGAGCAAGGCCTCTTTTAAAACTTCAATTTTTGTAGAGCCTTAACTGGTGCAGAATCTCAGTCTATCTCTGCTGCTTTTCTTGCCCCTCACCCTCAGTCCCCGGACAAGGTGGTGGTAGGCTTAGCAACCCCCTCTTTCCCTTTATAAGAAATATTTTGGATTCCAATGGCCCCTCCTGGAGTTTGCTTCTTTTTGTTGGAGGCATCTTGTGGAGGAATCAATACCTATGACAGAATTTTAAGGAAGAGAAACGGTTGTTGGTACTTAAGTCCTCATTCTCCTTATCAATTGTGAGGTTGCAACCTTTGGTAGTTCTTCCTCAACCTCTTCCATAGAAGTAGCTACTATCTTTGAAGGGAAAAATTCTTCTTTGGAAGACCTTAGAGGGAAGAGTTCTTCCATTAATTAAATCTCGGATGAGTGCAAACCAGTCGTTTAGAGGCATATCTACGGGAGACTTGGAGAGGAATTTATTGCAGGTCTGTACTCTTCTTGCATGGCACCCCCTACAGAGTTTATACTTAACTTTGATGGAAGCTTTAGAAATTCATTGAATCACAGGGTTCAAGCTGGTATTGGGGCTTGAAGTATTAAATCAAATGGGGACCTGATCTGGGCCTTGAGTGGGCTAATTAGTGTAGCAGATGCTGCTGAACCAGAAATCTGTGTCTTGTTGGTGAGCTTGACATCTGCAGTGGTGGTTCTTACCTCGTTGAGTGGTGGTGAAAGGTGATTCCAAGAATGTAATCTGCTGGACGAAAAGTTATAAGAAGGATGCTTGGAGATTCATCTGCATTTTTCATGAGATCTTGGAAGGCAAGTCTACTATGATCTGTCATTTTAGATGGATTCCCAGAGAGATGAATTGTGTGATTGATGATTTGGCCAAATCAGGGGTGGGGACTGGGGAGGGATTTTTGCATAGTGACTCCTTAATGCCTTTGTAAATTCTAGGTGGGTCTTTTTCAGCTTTTGGTCCTGTTTGGTATTGCTGTACATCTCCTCATGTACATCCTTTCCCTCCTGTTTTGCAATGAAAGTTATCCTTTTGTTAAAAAAGATCTAGAATAACCAATCTACTTATGAAGAATAAAGCCAGAAGTTCAAGGATAATAGCTAGCCAAGTGGTTCAACATAGGTAGGGATCTGTTACCAACAAAATGCTACCAACCCTGTCCCAAGTCCCAACAGGCCACTGCAGCCTTACATAATATCTCCCTTGTCATTCAGGGGGAGATGTTCCTGATGCACGGCTGCAGAGGCTGGTTGGGACGTTGTTGGCACTCCGTGTTGGTAGCTGATCCGAGCTTGTTCAACACTACCCAAGTTGAAAAGATGTAAACTCAGAAATGGAGGATGAATGGTGAATGAAATACAATTGGAGGCTAGTATTTGGTTAGGTTGCTTATGATGAAAGACTAGAAATTGACAAATAGTGAATGGATTCAATTGACTGCAAGAAGTCTGTAAAAATGGTGTTGGTTGTTGCTGGTTTGTGTGATGTTTTTAGGTGTTATTGGATACAATGCCAACTACTGCATAGATATTTCTAGATGTGGTCTATAGCGTTAACACTTCTTAAATATATAAAGTGGTATAGTTAAAAAAATATATTAGAAAAATATCTCAACATGTCAGAAATATGATTAAATTTGGCAACACATAAGTCTTGAGAAATGACATTTAGCTTCAAAAACTAGATATAAGCACATGATACATGCATACTGCATGGAATACGTGTACCTGTACCCATATCTGTGTCCATGTCTGTATCTGTATCTGGGCATCATAGGAAATGAAAAACATTTGGAAATTGATGCTCTATGACATGGTCATATCTGTTCAGGCAGACTTTAATTTTGAATGAAGTGGTTGCAATAAGCATGATGAATCTTGTATTAGACTGCAATCATTGCATCTTGGGCTTTGCATCATTAAGGAGGTGTACTTAGATGATGCAGTTATTGGACAATTTTGGGTGCAATTTCCACAGGAAGTGCTCAATATTATCCTAATGCTTCAGACTGGCTTTTAGCCATAGAGTACTATTGAGGAAGTTTGGAAAGCTTTTACCTTGAATGAAACAGGATGCACATTGGGGTCTAAAGGGGATTGTATTTGTCGAAAAAACAAAAAAAAAAAAAAACATTTGGCTTTATTTCTAATTCCTACCTTGGCATGACATCTGTGCTAGTATTGTCTTCTGAAGACAGAGAAAAAAAAGATGCACTTTTGATCCTGTCTTTTGTTTTTTTTTTTTTTTTGATGAATGAAAAAAAAATGGCATTACTGTTATAGTAGGTCATTAAGAAAAATGGCATTTTCATCCTTGTAATATGAGTGGTGCTGCATCTTGCTTTGCTAATTTATTCTTTGGAGGGAGGAGGGATTGCATTTTTATTTGGAGTCCTTATTTCAATAGGATTTTAAAAGGACAACAGGTAAACAAGGTTCTTCATACATGGGGTTATGGGGATTTCGTGTCTTGTCCATTTTTTATTTAAGGTTTACATGGTGCTCACCCCTGTTTGCTAACATTGATCTTCCTTAAGGTCATTGGTGTATCTTTTTTGTGCATATTTGCTAGCATAGTCTTCCTTAAGGCCATGATTTCTTTTTGACCTGATCTTCTGAATTTTCCTCCTACTCCTGATGTACCATGATCCCCCGAAGAGCAACTGCCAAAGCTAAGCTTGATAGGGGGTAATCGTTACTGAGTCACAGATCATTTGTAATAATGAATTTGGTCCTTGCTTTCTATCTTCTAATGATCTAATCAACTGAGAAGCCTTTAAACCAATTGGATTTATTGTGTAGATTAGGAATCAATTGGAGTTCATGTTTTTGTTGAACTTGAGTCCCTTAATGCCTTTGAACCTATCCAAGTAAATCCCACTTTAGTCAAGGCTCCTTTGAACCTGTCAAATCATGTATTGGGAGACTTTCAAAACATACGATGACTTATTTAGTTTACACACCTTTTCTTTAGTAGTGTGCCTCCATAGAACCTCATTGAGAGAACCATGTACACTTCATTTATGTCACTTTTCAAAAAGGAATTTTTCATATCAAATTGATAACTCAACCATTACTAAGAAGTTGCAAATGGCAGTAAAACCTGTATAGAAATCATCTTGGCAATAGGCACAAGCATTTAGTCTATACTAAATGTTTGTGTATTACCCTTAACAACTGGCCTTGCCTTGTTATGTTTCAATTGTGCCATTTGCCTTGTACTTCATGGTAAATACCCATCTACATCCATCCAGTTCCTTTCCATCTTGAAAATCAATCGTGTTCCATGTTTGGCTCTTTAAAAGGGCATCCATCATGGTTTGCATTACTTCTTCAATTCGGGCTTAGAATGCTTCAGACACATTCCTAGGCATAGACTTAGAGGACATAGAGACAAGAAAAGACTTCTAGGTGGGTAAGAGGAAGTCATAGGACAACTATTGTGAAATGCTATTAGTAGTCGATGATTTATGCTTTCCCTTCTGTAAAGCAATAGGAACATCAAGATCGTTAAACTTGATTTATTGAGGAGATGACAAGGGAATACATGTATCAGAATTTCTTGAGGCAACATCGTTACTAGGAAGAGGCACAACTTCATTACTAGGATCAACCCTCTTCCATCTCTAATAAACCTACAACTCCTTTAGGGTACTGCAATCAACTAGTAAAAGGAGAAAAAGTTGGGTTAGATAGAGAAACTGATCAACAGGCATGGGAATAGGAAGAGAAATGGCTCTAGAGACCAAAATCTTTCCACCACTCTCCGAATGACTAGAATCATGAGTAAAATACAGAACAAACTCAGAAAATAATTGCTATATCAATAAACCTAAATAGGGGTGATGACCTCTATATAGTGGATTGACAGCGGGATTTATGTAGATAAACCTAAATAGGGGTGCAAACTGTGCAACTCAAACTTGAATCTTGCTTGACCTAACTTAGGCACTTTCACATGTCGGACTGTTATTCTTGGTTTGCTGGTTGGTAGTCTGAAAACTAGAAGCCAACCTGAGATGAGGTTAGTCTTGGGTTTAGGCCTTGGATAGATTGATCCCATATGATCTTCACTACTTCACCATAGATATGTGGATATACTTTCATCTGTACTTGTATTAACAACTTGTGGTAGGCCACCTTGGGGATATTCAAATATTCCACAACCAATGGTGTGAAATGTGAAATATGTATGCAGATCTTCAAGACATCCTCTCTCTTTCTTTGATTTTCTCCAACTATTGCACAAATGCCTGTAACTCTGTAAGTTGTAAGTTCTCTTTGTCTCACTACTGTCCAAATTGAAACTAAGCTTCTTTGCATCTAATAGTAAGGTTTTCATGATTTTTAATATGTTTCATAGAATCATAGGTTGATGGGCATCTTCTAGTTTCTTTGTCCATCTCTTTAGCATATTCACTAGAGTCATTGTGGTATATCTCATAAACTTGATGGTTGATTTTATCTAGCTTCTCTGCATTTGTTTTTGTTGAATTATTGGTTTAGTTTTTAGTTATTATGTTTTTTTTTTTTTTGGTTTTGTTCATTGAATATGGTGGCAGATGTATTTATGCCATTCCCAGTCTAGAGTCTTTATGTAATTCTCAGTATGTCCTTTCGGAGAGAGTGGTTCTTTGCCAAAATGAATTTCTTGTTTGAAAAAGGAACAAGAGAGCAGGTATACTGGTGTTCATGGTTGGTTTGGATTGAAAACCACAAGGAATCTTGTATTGATTTTTATTGTTTTCATAATGAAAAGCAAATTTATCTCTTTTGTGGATATATGTAAAAGGCTGAGACATGCAAATCTCTGTCTTCTCTTATACTTCTTTATTGTTTTTGTTGTTTTCATTGTGGATTGATACAGGGATATCGTTTGAAGCCAATGGTATCCCAATAAGTGCTATTTTAGCTAGGATTGATCAAGGGAATTGTTTAGTTTTTGATTTGATGTCAAGGAGTTGTTAGAATAATATAGATCTAATGACAGGGTGTTGCCATGTTGATTTGGTGACAACACTATTATATAGGAAGGATTTAAAGAAATAGAAAGAAGTCAGAACATCTCTCCTTTTTAGTGAGATCATGAGGAAGCCCAATTATGAGAATGGGCAAGATATTGCATTACTTGTGCAAGGAATGAATTGGAAAGGAAGGTCATCTGACAAGGGGTCTAAGAGGGGCAAGTGAAGCTCTAGGCTTAGAGGTAGGAGTAAGGTAACTATGAATGTAAGGAATTTGGCCACATAAATAGGGATTGTCCTTTATGTCTTGACAAGAAAAGGAAAGGTGATAAACCTAACAGTGTTGCAATTGCATCCAAGGGCGAATTCCAGTTATTTTGTTTGTGTGTGTGTTATCAAGGATACATATAGTCTAATATTTCTTAGTTGGTTAGAGCATTGTAGTTTTTAGCTATGGGTAGAGTCATGAAATCCATACCTGCCTATGTGATTTTGATGAAGGGTTAAAAACTTGAAGGTTTGTATCATTTGATTGGGAGTAAAATGGTTTCCAAGACCTTGATGAATTTTTAGAAATGGTGTGCATAGAGTTTTTAAACCATACATAAGGTTTTTTTGCAGTCAGGGTAGAACAAGAAATACAAGATTTTAGGTTACAGATGATGGTGAGATAATAATTTCTGCTGGTGGTGAGGAAGGACTTAGGTTCCTCTCCGAAGTTAATTAAAATAGTTGACTCAGGGATAGCCATACATGTGCGTTGGTTGTATTGTTCACATCAAGTGGAGTCAAGATTGGGTGTTTCGGGTTATGTGTTACTCATTTTGGTGCTTTACGATGCCAATTGATTTGTTTGTGGTAGTAGCACAGATAAATAGGTTAACACATTGCAGATCTTAAAGGTGGCTGCAAAACAAGCCAAGATGGAGATTGTTGAGATATGCCTTGTTTTGACTGACTAGTATGATAGTTGATGGCTGAAGAATTTGTTGTTTTGTAGCTTCTTGAAGTGGTGTAAGTCATTTTGATGAAGACTCCTCACAAAAATAGGGCCAGAGAGAGGTTCACAGCATATGGTTTTTTGGCAGATCTGGGGTCTTGGGAGGTATGGACTGGATATAGGCCCAACCTTCGGCATTTTGCACATAGTGGCTGCTCTCAGATTTAAATCCACATTTTCATGCTTGTCAACCTGACATTTTACCATTACACCAGGCAGTGGCCCCTTTGGAATCATTTATAGAGTTCCTTAAAAGATCTGTTGTTTTGTAATTTCCTGAAGTGTAACTAATTTTGATGAAACCTCTTCACAAAAAAATGTACTCTTTTTATCTTTTAATGAAAATTTCTGATTGTACCATTAAAAAGAACAGAATGACCTGCCAAATCTTCTCATACTTTGCATTAAAATAAAAGAACTCCATTTGCAATATGATGATACAAGGAGTTTTAAGTGCTTCATTATTATTTTGCTACTAGTGTTTGGCTCTTGTGTGATGTTTCTGTCCTAGATCACAGTGATCAATCTAATTTTGATGCATTATTCAACATATTGTCTTGCTTTTCCAGTAAACAAATGAAAATGTTGTTGCCTTTCTATTCTTAGGTAGCTCGAGTCCCTGAGGATGTTGGAACTGCAGGGGCACTTCGGGCTGTTGCTCACCATCTCACTGCAAGTGACATCTTGGTAAGAGTCCATATTTTCTGTATGATTTATTTCAGATGTATTTGTTGCTTTACAGTTGCAAATTCCATATTCTTTGTAGGTTGTGAGTGGTGATCTTGTTTGTGATGTGCCTCCTGGGGCTGTAGCTGCTGCTCATAGAAGACATGATGCTGTAGTAACAGCACTGCTGTGTGCTGTCCCTGTTAGTGGACCATCAGAGACGGGAGCCTCTGGTGGAAAGGACAAAGCCAAGAAACCAGGACGGTACAACATCATTGGGTTGGACCCAACAACGCAATTCTTACTATATATAGCAACAGGTTTGATCTGTCTAAAGTTCTTTTGTATGCCATCTCACCATATATGCTTGCTTATTTAAGTTTCTATATTTCTTGTTAGGTGCTGAGGTGGAGAAAGATATTAGATTCCAAAAAAGCATTCTTCGTGCTGTAGGTCAGGTATAGATTTTGATGGGAATTCGAGAGTTCAGTTATAAGGTGAAACTTATGTCATCTGTCCTCCTTAGATGTGGTCTTTTTTTTTGATATCATCTGAAGGGGCTACACAACCGGGGG